CATCTACCCCAATACAAAACTTTTTTCGAAATTCATCAGGTATATTTGGACTCTGAACAAGATCTCCGTGATTCGTGCTATACAACCAAGGATTCATAAGTCATGGTAAGTCGGCAGAGCGCGAAAATTGCGGCCCATTTGCTTGCTTTTGTTTAAATGGCTCCAAAAACGCAAGATGTACAGAAAGATTGTCCTGGGCACAAAATGTGTGTTCCTTTCTTCTGTGCAGCTTTCGCTGGAAATATTCTTTGCTCCGATAAATACCGAGAAAGTTTCATGTAAAATATCCGTTACTGCTGTCCGACTTTCTCATTCCAACCACAAGTGGTATGTGTTCACACTTTAGAAAAATTCCCAAATACCAAATTTCATAAAAATACGTCCAACTGTTCTCGAGTACTTACATGCGGACAGACAGCGGGACATATATATGGCGAAGTCACTAGGCGCATTTTTAAACTTTTCGTAATCTGCATCCTTACAACTCAACAGATATACGAAGTCTCAGCCTGTTTCACAGGCACGCCGCGTAATGTGGTAAAGCAGTTAGAGCGGTGTGGGTCACCCGTCCTCCGAGATGGGGCTCTTTGTGTTGCTTTATGAGCGGTTATTGTGTAGCGAAATTATGTTTGTCTACTGCTTTCAAAACTTCAAAGTTAATTTTGGTCTGAAATGAAGACACTCATAAAAGTTTCAGTTTATTTTCTGCGGCGAGCCCTCAACACTTGGTGTGCTGGTGTGTGAACAAGGGATCACTGGCTCGGACACCGGGTGTCGCGACTACAGTTTTCGTTTGTTCTCACGACGGCTGCTAGCCGCCTTCTGTGACAAGAGAAGTGTCTGTCCTATCCCTATCAGCGAATTGCAATGCAATTTCATACAGAGTTTTCATTATACAGTAATCCCACGCTAATCCAGATTAAACGGGGGGGGAGGGTCATCCTGACTGAACGGAAACGGGGATTAATAAATCAAAAGATCGTCTTAAATATAGAAAGAAAACTCAGAAAAAGATAAATGGAAAATGTAATAATATAGTGCTGATGAAAATAAATAAAAAAAAATCACTGCAGCAATTTCTTCGTCTGTTAGTAAGCTGAAATGCAAGCGGCCTCCGTAGTCTAGGGGTAACGTTCCCACCTCATGACTCGTAGTACGCGGGTTCAAATACCCGGCGGAGGTCGTCGAATTTTTAAGGGCGGAAAAATTCAGGGAACAAGTCCTCCGGGAGGGACTTTAAGCCGTGGGTCCCGTGTCGTAGCTTTACGGCACGTAAAAGAACCTCATATCTCCAAAGGAGGTCACTGAGCCAAATTAACGGACGTTTCCCGCCCAACAGCAGTCTCTAATACCTCTGGTAGATGGGGGAAGCATTATAGATACCTCTCAGCTAGTAGAGCCGGTCTCGCTGGCTGGGCGGGACTGATAGTAAGCACCAGTACCGGTAGGATAGAGACTGGTAGAAATCATAGAGGGAAGCACAATGGACCAATACAGGTCTAAGTGCATGGGGAAACCCACCCTCTCCAATAACTAACTAACTAACTAAGCTGAAATGCAGATCCTCCTTCATCCAGCTCAAGCCAATCTTGGGTATTTTCTTGTGTAGTTTCAGTCTCTCCAGCTGCCTTCAAGAGTCTGAAAGCCCTCTGGCTCCTAAATCCCATGTGTCTTGTAAAGTATGTACTCAACTGTGAATGCAATTTTTCATATTTTGACCCGGATTATCTGATATCTGGATTAACTGTAACCGGATTAGGAGGGTTTGCTCTATTGCAAAAGTAAAAAGATGATTTCCATGAATATGGGCTGCGTGAGAACGTCAGGGAACAACAATAACAATTCCAATTAATGAATAGCACAATGCCAAAACGTGAACAATTGTAAAAACACGTCTCTTGGAAGGAGAGAATCTCTGCTTTTACCTTTGACAGAATGATCAGCAGGATGAAGGACGCAGACGTGAGTGGATAACCGAACCAGACTACAAATTGAAACATCTCAGAACTATAATCGTCATCATGAGAACTTCCTGGATCCTCTGAAACGTTGGTATCTGTGTACCGGACTATACGGCGTCACATCCCACTGCAGTGAGAACAGCAACGGCAGTTCTCTGGAACTGCCCAAGTGATGACAATTCCAGATGCATTCAATGTCTGTTTAACGACACTCTTTCAACAGGAAAAACCAGTAGTGACAAGCAAGAAAGGGAGTCATGTATGTGGAAGCAAGTGCAAGGCACTGCCTGAGGAAAAGAGTATACTGACTCATATGACATATTGTGATCATCTGGGTTACGACACCATGTGACTGCTATACTGCCTCCATCTGCAGGGTTGCAGTCAGCCAAGCGGCTAATTACGAAGAAGTGGGGGAGAAAGAAACAGTTAATGTAGGATGTGATTGGCCAATCAGAGTTATGCATGTGGAGGAGGAGGATGGGACCCAGAGGGGCCAATGGAAATCAGCATGATATAACATACATGTAAAGCTTGACCACAGCCTGCTCGCTTTGAATGAAGCAAAACAGGTGCAAGAAAATACAAGCAACACTTGTGGTCACTTCAACCAAGGGGGGGGGGAGAAGACATGGCAGACATGAAAAACATTTTTGATGTGATGACACTTGGCAATGTTGGAGATTAAATTAATGTCAACCCATTTCAAGCTTTACATCAAATTTGAACGAAACAAGGTGAAATTTTTGTGACTTCATAAGGTTGGAATCCTGTCTCTAACAGCACGAGTTACAGGAGGACCAAAAAGTTGCACACTTGCAGTGACCATGAGCATTCCTGCAGTTCAGCGGAATTTACCATTCTTCACAAAAATGCCCCTCTGAACAAGGAGCACATTCACTTTATAAACTTCACATTTCATTTTACTCAGAATATCTTAAGATGTTTTATTACTTTAATTACATAAAATAAAAATTTAATTCTTCCTACTACCCATACAGGACTACTCTTGTAATTTTTTTTTCAATAGGAGAGGAACATATACACATATGCATCCAGGCGTAGCTGGGTTAACGCAGAACTTCTTAACACTTTTGCTATACCATGGATTTCACTGAAGAATACATCATCATCTTCCCTTCTTTAGGCTACTGCCCTCTCTTTCCTGAACATGAATCTTGCCATCTTTTGTGTTGTCTTCTAGAAATCCTTCCCCTTTACGACAAATCTGTGTGACTCTGAGCAACAGACTTGACCTTCGCAGGTTGCTTGCCAAATTACAGCTATCTGGCAGAGCTGCCCCCTTAAGGACTTTGGACAGTTCCCCCTCCCATATTTATGACCGCTGGAGAGGAATGTGCAAACATTTTTGACGCCCCCAGAAATTTGGCTCCCTCTTGATCCACAGTTCCAACACATCTGACCACCTTACCATTTCTGGTGTACTCCCACATCCATCACCTGCAGATGCACCCTTATAACGTTTAAAGGTCTCCAAAGGCAAAAAATATGATTATTAGTAATGTAAGCTTCAATTTCGATAATGATACTGCCGTAAACTAAAGAATGTTATGATTATGTCTTGTGAGATCTGAAAGCACACAGTTTGACAGGTATACACCAATGTTTCAGAGGAACCTGCTGCCTCCATCTTCAGGAAACCTGAGACAGTATCATATCCAAGAAGGCCATAATCTTAACAGGCACCACCATGAGAATTTTGCATATCTTGCATCTAATTGTATTCAGTCACTGATTCTATTGACACATCATTTGCAGCATGTAGTGGCTTCCAGATTAAGTAGGTGTTCAAACTAAAAATTTCATAATTTCAACGTTTTTACAAGTTATGTCTAAACATGGGGAAACATGAAACAAAACTGCATTCCTACCATATGCACTGCTATATAGGTAAAAGAGGCTCTGAAATGAAGATTCAAATTAATTACAACCCTACAGAAGCCCTGGGTGTGGCTCCTTCTCAAATTACAGACAATTAGTTAACCCACTTACTTTATAAGTAGTTACTCCAAAGAATGATTATATTCTGGACAATATACAAAATTAACTAAAAATTATTTATAAAGTTGTAAATATTTACAAAATATGAAGAAAGCAGTCTTCTGGGATTTGGCATCGTGTATATGTGGTGTTAACCGACGTTTCGGAGGAACGTATCGCCTCCATCTTCAGGGTAGAAGAAAAAATATAAGAAATCTGCAAGCGAAGAGACCGTGAGAAACGGTAAAAGCAGACTGTGTTGGAAATATACACAGCTATGTGAGAGTAGAGAAGGAAGGGGGGGAGGGAGCTGGGACAAGCATGGTTTCTGTGTAGGGGAGGGAAAGGCAAGGTTAAAGGCTGGGCACATTTCTTTTCCTCTACCCTGAAGATGGAGGCGTACGTTCCTCCGAAATGTCGGTTAACACCACATATACACGGTGCCAAATCCCAGAAGACTGCTTTCTTCATAGTCACCGCCGTGAAAGCCTCAAATCTTACATTTACAAAATATGTCCATGCCATAGCATAAACAGATTAGCTTTGGTTTAAACACACAGCAGTCCATGAGGTATAATCCATCAATGAAACAGGTTTCTATTTAAATGCTTCAGTCATTACTCCATCACTGCTCCATACTCATCTATTACTGCCCATGAGCCGTGTATTGGACTGCACTAACTCGCACATCATCACAAACTGAATTCTCATTTCAAAATTATCCTCGAAGTTGAAGTAACTTCAAATGGAGGATAGATACTACGCTACAACATCAGTTTCAAACAAAATGCCTTGGATGAGTGATCAGCACTCCTGCCTCATATTTGTGGCCCCGACTAACGTTTTCATCATCTTCGTCAGTGTTGTCATACAAATGCCTGGATGGTACCGCAGATTAGGTAACATCCGCTTCCTGTCACATACTTTCCAATTCATTATTCACCAATCATCCTACCATTCCAAATAATATAGTATGAGATATCAAAAATTTTATTATAAATAAATAATATAATAAGTTCCAAATTAGATGAGACTCACCATTTCGGCAGAGATGGTCTTTGGCTGCAGGGTTTGGCGATGATTTGGCAAAACAGTATTGCTGCATGATGTCTCTTTGGTGGCATCAGTATCAGTCTGTAGCCTTGCTTCTGTTCGTCGCATCTTCTCCAGTTCAACTTCACGAGAAATCAGTTGCTTGTTAGCATAGCTGAGAAGTCGAGCAGGTTTCTGACCAGGGAACAATGCCAGCTCTTCGATGTTGCTGCAATGGAACACCAAAAATCCTGTGTATCTCACGCGCAAGCTGACCCTCAAAATGCTGACATCAATTTCTTAGATTTGTGGTGCTCGGGGCAATGTCTACGAGGATTAATGCCTTCTTGAATGTGATATCATGCAGTTTGGTGGATAGCCACAAACCTTTCATCACACCCTTAAGATGAAAATGGCATGTTTCTCAGATGCATNCTGACCCTCAAAATGCTGACATCAATTTCTTAGATTTGTGGTGCTCAGGGCAATGTCTATGAGGATTAATGCCTTCTGGAATGTGATATCATGCAGTTTGATGGATAGCCACACACTTTCATCACACCCTTAAGATGGAAATGGCATGTTTCTCAGATGCACTGGTACATATCTACAAAACAAAATGGCATCACATTCCACAGGAGATAAGAACTTCAAATTCCACATGCACAACATACCATCTTTCTTTTACATACAGCCCTGAAGACCACAGTAAACCAAGAGGCTACACAATCTGAGAGAAAACTAAAGGCACCACTGCAAGAGGACACATGAACTTTCACTATGAGACCAGGGAGTATGTTAACCTTTCAGAATCTTACTTAAAAAGGTTATGAAAAACTAGCCTAGGCTAGGTATTCAAGCTGTAATATATTGGAAACTGGTACTTCTTCCATCTTCAGGCAAAAGAAATACCTGATCTGAGGTTTCTATCAAAAAGAGAACCAGTTTCCAAAATCTTGCTGTATTACCATAAAATGAAGATGATGGATAATGTCTAGAATATTAGAAATAACAAATTCACACCAAATTTAAGCTACAATATCTAAAAAGTTCAAGACGAGAACTCACGGGTCCAAATTGTATATGTAGTTGCCCTCTAATGTGCGTTCCTGAACGTAGTTGAGGTTGTAGTCAATCATGACACTGATCACGTGGTTCAGATCCTCCTTCTCACGGGCACTGTACAGCTGCATGCTGACCTGCGTAAGTGCATCACTGGTCAGAGGACGAGCCAGCACATCATATTACAAACACATTGATATACAGTGGCCTGTATATGTCTGATGCAATTTTACTGCCTAAACAAGCAAATATTTTGACACGCCCAGTTTCTCAGCCAATTCTTGTGACTGCACTTTTACTTCAAACCCTCACACAGCAGGATATCACCAACATAAACTCATATCACACCCACCGAACGGAGCGTTGGGACCAGTATCTGCAGCAAAAGTGGTAACGTGTCAAACAGGAGCTGGGCAGGATTGGCATGTATCCTCACCAGTGGTGCCATCCCTCGCATGAGCTCTCTGAGGATCTGTCGGGCCTTCTGCTCCTTCACTATCACCTGCAACAACAAGACAGCAATAATAGCAATTGCTAAGTTTTGTGGCCGGTGTGTCAGCACTGTGCTGTAATAAAGCAGGAGAAAATGTTTTAGTTACAGACGTGAGAGAACATTATTAATTCTCAATAAAGTCTTCTAAGGCAAACAGCCATGTCAATCAGGGCATCAGCCCAACATTTCAAAGACTTTCTATTACTTGTAATCGTGGAATGGTGGCCCAAGAACAACCTGTAGTCACCATGAAAGCTTGAAGTTCTGAACTGTTAACTGTTCACTGTTTCTTCAGTTTCGATGAACGAATCAGTTTCAATACATCCATTCAGTTTACAATCACTTATCCTGTCACCTTCTTTCTAAAAACTATACAACTAGTATGTATGCACAGTGTAATAACTGTGGTGTGTTTCCTCACATTTGTTTAATAATCTTGAAAACCATAAAAACAGAAAAAGTACATTGGATAAAATGTATAGTTCACTTTTCTTTATAACCTTTATGCAAGATTTTTTGCTGCAATAAATATTTAAAGACATGTGCTCAGAAACGCTTTTAGGTCCTCATGTAAAGAATCCATTTTTTTGCTGCAATAAATATTTAAAGACATGTGCTCAGAAACGCTTTTAGGTCCTCATGTAAAGAATCCATTATTTCTGACTGATTTTAAACAAAATTGGAAAGTGTGAACTACAAATTTCATTAAAATTCTTAACTCATTAGACACAAACAGATGAACTGAAATGGTGAAGCTTATAAGCTCATTTTTCCAAGTTTTTGCTCTGAACTTGCCAAAAACATAAACATCACCCATACAGTGACGTAAAAGTAGGTATGCCTTTCTTGGGAATAAAAAAATAAAATGTAGTAATAATAGTAGAGTGAGCTGAGAAAAACTGTTGGGCATAAAATGAGGATAACAAAAGAATTACACAGAGAGAGCAATTTACTCTTCACCTGACATTGTTAGGACATTTAAGTCCAGAGGAGTCATGCAAAAATTTGCTTACTATACCTTCTGAGTAGGGACACTATTAAATTAACAGTACTTTCTGGAAGTCGATACCTGATTCTAACTGCAACAACCCCCCTCCCCCCTTTATCGAGTGATTCTCTATAATCCAGTATTTTGCGGAACATCTGAAAGGATTAAACAATGCATGATCAGTGATTTAACACACTCTGCACCTTTCATGTGTTATTTTGATCACTCCGTGAGAGTATGTGGCGTTCTAGCTGAGATCTGAACTGATTAACTTCAGAATACGAATCTAAGGGTGCTACCGCTATACCGAACGGTTCAGGAAAACCTGTACAAACATCTGCACCTGTTTCATACTGTGGCACTGTAGCCTGAGCATAATCATCAGATAGTCCACAAGTATGTGAGTTCAGTCAAGTGCCATGTCAGATGTGAGTTACCAACACAGTACTGCAGGCTGGTCAGCTCTATCACAAACCCCAAGCACAGATACAAATGGGCATAAAACATTTATAAAATTGTGATTTCCAAGGTAAAACTGAAGCACCATAAATTTCATATGGGCTACACAAGGCTTGAACCTGGGTCTCCACAGCAACAAGCAAGTGTTGGACAAACTGAGCTAAGGCATGGTCTCATAGTAGCAGTACCCATTCTTTACCCAGGATGTGGTTGTTGCTTTCCTTCTTAACATCACGGTGTGTAGCAGCTAAAAACTAAAAAAATCAAACTAACAACTAGAAATTTACTCATGTAATTACGAGAAAAACTGCGAATGAGGATCTGACCCTACCAACAATTCCACCGCAGTATTTGCGCATCACTGTAACAGCAGTATAAACTCATTTACACATTCTAGGCCACGCCACAGCTCAAGCGGTTAGTCCCTGGCTTCCCACCGCGACGGCCCGGGTTCGATCCCCGGTCTGGTCAAGTGGGATTTGTGGTGGACAAAGTGGCGTTGGGGCAGGTTTTCTCCGAGTACTTCGGTTTCCCCTGTCAATCTTCATTCCACCAATTGCTCCACAATCACCCTCACCTATCATCTGGGGCTGGTACAATAAGCCAGAAGTGGCCGCAGTACAAGGGACTTAGTCCCACCCCACTATCAATAAAAAAAATAAGACACATTGGTAAGAATATGGAGCGCAAATTTCATGTTCTCTGTTGGTTCCACAACAGGATATAGGTTGCATTCCTATATAACAGTACAGTAAACCCTCGCTAATCCAGTTACAGTTAATCCGGATCAAAATGCTGTTCACAGTACAGTTCGAAAAGGACAAGTGGCATTTAGGAAGGCAGATCAGTCACTTGCCTGTTCAGACAAAACTTCAAAGTTTCCTCAACCTGCATTATTACATTCAACAACAAGTATAACTTCTGAGTCTTCTATCAATGAATAAATATGCAGTTACAGGCTGTATGGTGATATTTTGTTAGTTTTTTCCTGCCTTTTAGGGTTATCTTTTGCTTCCCTAATCTGGATTATCGCTTAATCCAGATGACCTATCCCTTCCCCCAATTACTCTGGATAAGGAAGAGTTTACTGTATAATTAATTCATATAAAGTTATTTATATAAAATTTAGCCCTCGCAATCACAGGTGTGGAACAGACTCCAGAGGCCACAAACAATTACCTAACCCAAATGTTCTCCTGTTTCGATATGAGAGTCGCAAGGCGCAAAAGAACTTATATCAAAAACAAAGTACAGCAAGAAGTTTGCTCAAGTGACGCAATAATTTATGTGCTTTTTGTAATTACCGAGAAACCTCTCAAGAAATGAAAACGTTAAAAAAAGAAAGAACGACACTGGCTGGGTGGACTTTATTCTTGTCGCTTTTCCGATCCATTTACCGATGCGTCTTTGTTTCCGGCTAATGAGGGGATGAATTATGTAGCCGCTAGCTCATTACTCGCGAGACTGCCTTTCTTTCTTTCTTTCTTCCTTCCCGGTAATTAACTGGCGCAGTTTCACGCTTCGAGCCAACAAGGGAAGTTTCTTGGCGAGAGGAATTGGCCACAAAACGACTTTCACTTGTACCTCCATAGAAATTAAAATTATACAACTTAGTCGTCTATTTACGAACAGTGGCATAAAGTTGTTCTTGTGCTTAACCAAACACTACGCCAGGAAAACGTGNGGGGGGGGGGGGGGGGGACGGAGATATGGATCCACGCAATTTCAACCTCGGCGTTACATGGACGTGGGAAAGAGCCTACGGTACCCACTGGACAGAAGGCTGGATGGGCACCAGAGCCGGTAAGGATGCTATGAAGAAAATAAAACAACACTTGCCCCTGCTGGGAATCGAAAACCGACTCCTCGGTTGTCCAGCCCGTAGCCTAGACATTACCGCCACAGCAGAACCTGCACTCAGCTGAGCTAAGAGACAACTTCTTGATGTGTACGCACGCTAACTGTTGGTACCCCAGTTTAATCATGGTAGGAAGATCAGTGAATTATGAATTGGAATGCATGTGGAAGGAAGCGATCACGGAGAAACTGAGTAAAACCAAAAATAACCTCAGGATAGCCACTCCCCATACCACATCTGGGTCCTGGGCCTCACAAATACGAAGCAGGAGTACCAACCACTCGACCGTGAAGTTCAACTGTGTAAACCAACTTCTTGATGCCCCTATATGCGCTTGTTGTGAGGAAGGAAGAATTTAACTTGAGTAATTCACTTCTCATTTCCCGGGGATTAAAAGCGGCAGCATTGTTAATTGTAACCACAGCCGCGCGGCAGGGGAGGGAGGAGCAATTAGAAGGAATTGGCTAAGTAGCTTGCGGGAGGGGGGGGGAGCTGATAATTCATACCGCACCACAGCGAGATGTTAATTCATAAATAACACTGCCTGCAGCATTTTAGGCTAATTAATAAATGAAAGAGTCAGTTTCCTGCACCGGCTTGATCGAGCGCTCCAACGGGCTAGGCACAATCAGGATCCAGCGATAAACAGGCGAGGCCTGACCCTATACACAGCTGCGTGGAACGAATAATCCAACAGGATCCAACGCCACGCAATTGTGGAGTGACCCTCACGCAACTGGGTGGACGGAACAATCCAACAGGCTAGGCACAAACAAAATCCAGAGCCACGTAGGTGTAGTGACCCTCACACAACTGGGTGGCGCGAAAAATCCAACGCCACGCAGGTGTGGAATGACCATCACACAACTGGGTGGAAGGAACAATCCAGCAGACTAGGCACAAACAGGTTCCAACGCCACGCAGGTGTGGAGTGACCCCCACACAACTTGGTGGCGCGAACAATCCAGCAGACTAGGCACAAGTAGGATCCAACGCCACGCAGGTGTGGAGTGACCCCAACACAACTGGGTGGCGCGAAAAATCCAGCAGACTAGGCACAAACAGGTTCCAACGCCACGCAGGTGTGGAGTGACACCCACACAACTGGGTGGAGTGAACTCATTACCAACATTACCCTAAACTGTGAAGCACGTTCAACTCACTAATACGTAAAAATGAAATTCCTGTCTTACAGAAAAAGCCAGGCATCTGTATTACAAGAACCAATCAGTTAACGCTGTTGAGGGAAACCATGGCTGTCTGTTGTGACGATGACACGACGCACAAGTACACTCTGTGGGAACAAAATGCGCTGTTGTAATGTTACAACCGGTAGTACACTGGTTATCACCGAGCTTTGAGCGGTTACGGAAGCTTAAGCGTAGTCTGTAAGTGCTGAGTGTCCAGTACAGATCGGTAAACATTCTTTGTGGATGTCAGCATCTTGATTATACACCGTCAAACGGTATGACGACTGAGGAATTGGGAAGGATTTTCAAGGAACTGGTCGCAGACTAATGGGGGTCTTTCATGGCATTTTGTTGGAAGGACTGAGGACCAGTGACCTGTATGGCAAAGTCCGTTGAAAGTTCCAGTTTACTGGTAGTGAGAAATGTTGGGCGGTACGTGGCCATATTAACTCACGGAGCAGAAATGTGGCCACGGATCACGACAGATCACAAGAGACTAACCGGACACTGGGAT